GACTATGCCGAAGAGTCCTATGCAGCAAAGTGCAGAGGAAAGAAAGGCAAAAAGGGCAAAGGAAAAGGCAAGTACGGAAAGGATGGAAAAGATGGCAAAGGAGGCTCTAAGGATGGAGTAGCCAATCTTGCCGATGCTGCCCAGGGTAGCGCTTCGACTGCTGCCACAACCACTTTCTTCGTTGATCACTCGAACTTCTACAACCTTTCTTTCATTTTTCATGGCCACCGAAAACCATGAAGCCTTCATCACGCAGCCACTGACTCCAACCTCGATGGTGTTGGATCTTGGGTGCACGAGGGCTATGACATCGAGAGTGGCCGCGCAGGACATGATGAAATTCTGCGGCCAGAACAAGGACTGTGGCGCTGGGTGCCACACAGCTGAGACTCAGTCTCAGTTCACCTTTGCCAACTCCGAATCGACAAAGTGCAGGCAGAAGCTCATCATTTGCATGTACGACCGGGAGTTTTCAGTCCAGTCCACTAAGTTTGACATCGCTGAGCAGGGTCACGTTCCAACTTTGATGGCACTGAGACAGATGTGAAATCTCACGTTCCAGCTTTACCTCCCGGACAAGGCTTTCTTGAGAAGTCCAATACTGGGAATTCAGAAGATGGAGCTTAAGGTAACACCTCTCTCTCATCTCGTACTTGATCTTCTTAACCTCCGTGAGTACGAAAAGTCACACCCAGGCCCTCTGCAGGGCTAGGTAGGCCCCTCAAGGAGCAACTTTTGAGAGCCAATATGACAGCATGCACATCAATTCACAGGTCTGAAATTGTACAGGTCAAGAAACTTTGACAACGTCAAGACATCACTATTTCTTTCACGACAGCTTGTTGCGCACAGCCAAGAACAACGCAATCTAAGAAACCCTTACTACCAGGCTCACCAGCGCTGACCGAAAACCCTTCCTCTGTCCAAGCTGTCTGCTCAGGTCTAGTTGCTTTCTCTGCTTGCGAGACTATACGTCGAGCCAGCATGCTACCTGAACTGAACAGGACACGAACACAAGCAGGGCGAATTCCGAATTTTGACAGTTACTTCCAGCTAATTGTAATAGTTTTCGTAATGGTAATGAAAACAGTGACAGTAGTAATCATAGTAGTAGTAGTAGTAGTAGTAGCAGCAGCAGTTGCAGCAGCAGTAGTAGTAGCAGCAGCAGGAGGAGAGGAGGAGGAAAAGGGGGAGGAGGAGGAGTAGAAGCACTAGTAGCAGTAGAAGTAGTGTTATCGATAATTAACAGTAGTAGTAGAAGTAGTAGTAGTAGTAGCAGCAGTAGCAGTGGCAGTAGCAGTAGTAGACTGGTTACAAGTTCGTTGCTAATAGTAGCAGTAGTGGTCGTCGTCGTCGTAGTCGTCGTCGTGTTAGCAATTAGCTAGTAGGTAGTTCGTATTTGTTACTCAAATGAGCTTGTCGTCAGTAGTCAGGTGCTACTATAGTTGGCAGCCCGTAGTCACTCGTCAATGGTTACTGATGGTAGTAACTTTAGCAGTAGTAACAGAAGCCGTGTTATCAGCAATATGGCAGTCGCATCACTGCGAGCGGCCTTATCGTCTGCCGTGTTAGCAGCTGTCAGCATGTCTGTGCTTGTTTGCTTTTTGCTTGCTTTCATTCCTTGCCTTCTTGCCCACAATGAGGGCTGGGGCCAATTGATGCGAAGCACTCGAGCGGAGGTTTGGTGCGTTCTATGTGCGGCCTCCTTTTCCCACACCAAATAGCAGTGCTTGGACTGCTGGATCAGGTCGGAGAAAAACAACGAACCTGGACCACTCACGGTTCTTTTACTCAAACATGTAATCCCCAACTCATTTTTTCGGGCGGGACCTGGCCTGAATGTCTGGCTCAAGACGACCAAGTCCTGATGCAATAGCTCCTTGGCTTCTGTGGGTGACAGTCGGTCGCCGTTGACCTGACGGACAGGGACACCGGAGCTCCACACAGAAAGACCCCCTGGTTATTGAGTATTCCAGAAAGGGTACTCTCTCAGTCCCTGATTATCAAAACGACCCGATCTTGCACGCGCTTCCCTCATCCAGCCTCTATTGAAGCGCACGGCGGTGGAATGCCCTGCGTTTGCATGATGAAAAGACGACCCGACTCCTGCATATGGCGTGTCACGCAGCTTAGTGTCGTTCTGAATCTCGTCGGTCCATCTTGAAGGGCACAGCATCAGGACGATGGGGATGCTCTGGGATCTTTAAGATCTTCTCTCGAAGGTCACCAAACGGCACAGGAAGGTAGCAAAGAAGCGCGTGACACAGCTTCGCTTCACCCACCTACGGAAACTAGCACCATGATCAAGAATGCTAGGCTTTTCAAACTGGTTTCGGAGCTGGCCCGAAACACCTAGTCAGCAAGTAAGCCCTCATGAAACAAAATCGGGCTTGATGTTGAGTTTAAGATATCAGACCCCCGTTCCAAAGGAAGAAACACACAAAAGCACAGGCGCACATCCTGCCATGCGGAATAGGTCTCGGAGCCTTGGCTGCTCAAGTTCGTCAATGCTGAGCAGGTCGACGAGGCTTACGACGGCAGTACAGGGGGTGCCCACATGAGCAACAGCGTTCTTGTGAGCCCTTTGCACAGGCCACCCCTGATCAATGCATCAGCGCCACACGAAGTCAGTGTCTGTGGCAGCCGAAAATCGCAGTGAGGAGAACCTAATTTTCAGCACATGTATCCTGATTCTACTGCATAACCAGCCCCAGAATGGGTCCAGCTTTGCAAACAAGCTGCACCCCAGCATGTACTTCCGTCCTCAGCCGGGCCAGCAAATTGTCAACCGAACGCTGAGTGACTCTGACCATGCAGCGCCTTCGTCTGCGACATGGAAGATGAGACGACCGCTGAAGCCCGGGTCTTTGGAGTACAGAACCAAGCCTCTGTGTCAAGCGGACATATGCCCTTCGCATCCCTTGACGTCAACTGATGAGACAAGCTGACAAGAATTCATCCTGCGTCGTTCGAACAAGGGCCTCGAGACCCCGACCTCCTCGGACAAAGTTCTGCGCTTCACCGGTTCAGAACTCAATGAGCTCCCAGCACTGCAGCTCCAACAAATAATGCCGAGCATTACTGAACAAAATCCGTCAACCACCCTTCTGACATCACCGGGCCCTCGCCTTCCACGTAGATACTTTCTCAGACTTTCTGTGGCAAACTCAGACTGCACTTCTTAAGCGCATGTTCCGGCTTGAAGTGGTCCTCTAAAGGACCTCATGAAGACCAGACGCTCCGTCTTAAGCCGTTTCGAGAGGCCGAGAGACTTGGTGTTCGTGGCGACCTTGCATCTGACATAAAAGCGCGCCGACTTTTGAGATTTTGAAGCACACTATCCATGTGCAGGTGAGCCGCTTAGGCACAGAACCTCAGAGTCCGGTGCTGGATGCCACGTTCCACTCAGTTCTTGCCACTGTTGCAGCCCCTACGCGTCGCCTGCCTCAAACGTTTCCTGCCAGCTGCCAGTCAAGACTTGTCAGCCGTGGTCGCATGAACAGCGGTTTGGTTTGGTCATTTCTAGACAGTTTCCTTTCCTTGTCTGCGGCGACGACGCCGAACTCAGTTGCAGCACTACGAAACGAACTTTAGAACCAAGGAGCCATCTCCAAGTGTCCAATTCAGCCACGTGCCATCTGCAGGCGGGGCTGCCGCAGGGCAGGCACTGGAGACGGTGTCCGATGAGGCAAGCCTCTTCTGCTTTTCGGCCACATCCACCTGGACTTGGACGTCTCCATTGGCTTGCTGCAGGGACGGCTTGTCGCCAGCGGATGATTCCTCTCGAAGCTCGTTTTTGACAGTGGCTTTTGCGAATTTCCACCTGGATATGGCAAGATTTTGCAATGCATCGTCTTTCTGTCTTCGAAGCATATCAGCATTCTTCTGCGCTTCTTCCCATCTGGCCTTGTAGCTTTCCATCATGTTGCGAACAAGGCCAGCTTGCGAATGCAAATCCTGTCCATTTCTTTCTGTGCCTTTGCTGAGTTGTTCCTTTAAGCTTTGCAACTCATCATTCAAGCTTTGGATGAGAGAGTCTTTGTCCATCTTGGCAGCGCGCCTTGCGGCAACCTTGATGCTCTTGACCGTGCTCGCGAAGTTCAAGGTTACCAAGCTCTCGTCCAAATTTACAACTGCGGGGCTCACCGTTGCTAGCAAGCAAGTCTTGGAGTTGCCAGTTAAAGCATTGATGAGTAGCAACGTCAGCTTGGAATTCCGGAATCTGGCACGGCTAGATCCCTCGAGCGCACCTGAGCTACCCGAGCTGCTCCGCTTGCGTGCCTGCCGGCCAAGCGCCTGAATACACTGAGAAAGCCACATCAGGCTTCGGTTGATGAATGTTAGTTCTACGAAATTTTCGCCGGTGACCTTCGTGGTCTTCTCGTTCTCTCTCCCAGCCAGGTCCACACAGAAGAGCTCCGAAGATACAACTGTGTGATCCTCCTCATGCTTCTCCATGAGTAGTCGAAAAATCACATGCCCACGAGAACTCTTGGGATTTCTGGCCGTGGAGGCAACGCTTGCCCTAGACATGCCAGTGTCCAGCACCTTCTGAAGTTGCTCCATAGAATCAATCTGCATATCAATAGCCCCATCGACATAAACGCCTACCCGCGGGTGCACATGAATCTCTGGAGCTTTTGCCGAGTCTTTGTCACTCAGCAGATCGCGCAGCTTCTCGTTGTACACTTCCAGAATCTGAGCGCGGCAGTGCACCTGTGGTGTTTTCTGCATGCTCCGCAGAGGGCTCTCAGGTTTTAAACAGGGTACAGGTAGGCAGTACGTAAAGGAATAATTGTTTTTATTTGCGGGAGTATCAGGTTGAGGAACCCGTGCCTGACCGCTAGGCAGTGACTCCATTTGGCTGAGCAAGTCTTGCAAAAGCCGTGGCAGCAATCCTTGCTCAGCCTCGCCTTTCTTGCCCATGCAAGAGAAAGTCTTCCCACTGCCAGTTTGTCCATAGCAGAATAAACACGCATGATATCCAGAAATGGAATGCTGCACAATTCTGCGTCCAATCATGTCGTAGCATTTCTCTTGGGATACATAGCTCGGCTTGGAAGCATCTGTACTGTCCATGACGCAGTCGAAGGCAAAGTCGGTCTTCTTCCTGTCCGGAGCTCGGACTGAGATGACATTTCTGGAGGCTGTAAAGCAGTGCTGCCTTGCTTCGTAGCCAAGAAACGGCCGTAGCCTGACACCGACAAAGACGGTCTCATCGTTGTTAGCCTTTTCCATGTTCAACGTATAGGTTTGTAGGCAGCTTCACTCAATCGGAGTCTAGGCTCAAACCATGTCGTAGTTGGGGCGGATGCTTGCACGAGATGACATGACATCATGATAGGCTGGTGCGAACAAGACGATTGACATCATGCAGCACATGTGGTGGCAATTGACAGGGACTCTTCGCTTGAGCAAGGAACCCAGCAGTGCATCATCACTGCTTCATGCAAGCATGTGTCATGATGACTCTGCAAGCCTGGCCAAAACCAACTCCTACTGACATCCGTATTCCTTAGCATCATGAACAGGCATTTCACTGCCAAGCTAAACTTCAGGTCGGGAGGACAAGATGCAAGCAGAATGCGTCCTCTTCTAGCAAGGAGTGATGCCGAACAGCAAACAGCAGGGCTTGCTACTTTTGGAAACGTGGCTCAAGATGTGAGTTGCCCCTGTCCGTTGCACCGTTGTACCATGGAAGCAATGGCAGCACCGCCTGAGACAGACTCCAAGCCACAGTCGCTCACGTCCACGTGTTGGAGACTGATGGGAAGTTGGCACAAAAGGGCATGCAAACCCTGTGGCCCAATTTCCGTGTTGCCGCTGAGGTCTAATCTCTCTAGGCGCGAGGATCCTGATGGAAATAGTGTTTGTAAATGCATGTCCTGCATCGACAAGCCGCAGGAAGCCAAGCTCAAGGAACGAACGCTTGTGTTTAAAAGGATCTGCTCCACGAGCAGGCAAAGTCCGATTTCTTCCAGTTGTGGGTTCCCGGAAACTGACAGCGTGCGAAGAGCAGGCGACATCTGCACAATCCGCAGGACAGCTGCAGCTCCAGTTCTTTTCGCAAGAGAGCAGCAACCTAGATCCAAAGCTTCCATCGCATTGCAAGATAAGGCACTAGCAAAGCTGTGCACCCCATCATTTTGCAGCCGAAAGTTCTTCCGAACAAGCAGACTGGAAAGTCCTGGCATCTTCTCGACCAGGTGCGCAAGAGCAGTGCCAGAATCGGAGCCTGCAAGCCCGCACTCCCCCAAGTTCAATAGCCTGACGCTGCAGCACCTGGGACAAGACTTGACGAAGGTTCCAAAAGCATGTGCGCCAAATGTGGGGTTGCCGTACAGACTGAGATTCTCTAATGAGTGCATCGCACCAAGCAGCCGAGCCAAGGCAATGCCGTCATCACAAGTCGTTAAGCTGCCGTGTTCAAGTTTGAGAGATCGTAGGCGACTACTTTTGCAAAGCTCGATGACGAGTGTATCCCCCAAGTTGAAGCTCTCTTGTTGCGGAGATGCGGAGGTACCCGCGAGTTGGAGATGTAAATCATGCCAAATGGCAAGGCTTTCATCATCCGAGCGCACTGCTCGCAAACGAGGTGCAGTATTCAGTGAAGACAGACTGTCAAAAGCGTGCTCCTCACCTACGTCTACCACTTCCATGTTCGGGCATTTGGCAAGCAAAGCATCGAAGTGGTGAGGCTCCAGGTCCCCAGGCAAGCTGCAATGTTGCAGGTCTATCTTGGCAAGTGTCCTGTCGGGAGTTGAATCCAAGTGCTGCCCAAAAGCAAGAAGCCCCTGAGCACCAAAGCCGCCGTTGTTGGCTAAATCCAGCATGAACAGGTGCGGCATACTCGCCAACATCTGGGCGATAGCCGTGCCACCTGCAGCCCCCTCTACCCCCGTATCTCCAAGATTGACAACCTGAAGACTGCACATCGTTTTGTTTGACGATCGCAGCGTCTGAGCGAAGGCCAACACGCCGTCGGATCCCAAGTGGTTATTGCTGTGTATGTCGAGCTTCTGGAGATTCGGCAACATCGCCAGGAAGTGTGCCAAGTGACGTCCTGATGTGGATCCATCAATGCCGCAGTCTGACATCACCAGATGTTGTAACGAATAGCAGGTGGGTATACCTGCTGCAATCGAAGACACAGAAACACTTGAAGACAACAAGCTCACTGCTCCAAAGCCATTGTTGCCGCTGATATCCAGAAACTCCAGGCTTGGACAAGCTTGCAGAAGTCGAGCGACGATCGTGCCACCCTCTTCACCACAGAGGCCAGTTCTTGCCAACGACACAGCTCTGAGCTGATTTGCACGGCTTGGCAGCCCTTGGACCAATGCATCCACTCCCGAGGGCAGCAGCAAATTGTCACTAAAGTCCACATGCAGGGAGGCCCTCAGCAAGACCAGTTGCAGCTCGTCACAGCCCGCAGCGACATCACGCCACAAGCAGTGGCGGCCCAATATGCGATGACCAAGAAGCAGTTCAGGACAACCACCTGGAACTGCACCACGTGCATGCAGCAAATGCAGGACATCATCGACGCTCGTACTGCCTCTTAAGGATAGCAGGTGGCAGCTTCCATCCATACAATGAACACGACAGTGAGTCGCTGGTTCCTTGGCATCTGAATACCATGTGAGCTGCCCAGGCATAACATGCATACCATTGCACAGACATAGGCCTATTGAACAAACACAGTCCAGGCGTTTTGCTTAAGCATGCAGCAAAGCGTCGTTCAAGTCATTCATGTCGTCATGCGCTGGCCATAGTCTGCAATTCCTGGCATCCTCAAGCTGAGGCTGTTGTTGCGAAGGCCTGGCCCCCGCATGATTCGGCTCATCGCAGAGAACTTGGAAGTCTCTTTCGAGAGCTGCAAAGCCTTTGTCCCGTAAAGTCATCCCAGTGGTCACGCATGCGCTTCTTTTATTTCCATCAGGCTGACCTGGAAGCTGGCTGCTCTGATTTCCCATTTCTGACGATCCAGCCGCGGATGGTTTTCGTCCCGCATGAAGGTGTTGGCTGTAAGAGCTACAATACTCAGAATACTCAGATAGTCTTGAATCGAAAATACAATAGTAAGGCGCAAAAAAAAAGCTCTCTGATGGCTGTGTGACGGTGGCTGCGTGTGCTTTCGGTATCTTGGGCCCAAGTACACTGTCTCAGCTGGAGTGTCCCACAGAAAACAACTGTGCTGGGATCCGTGCTGGGCCCATCGGAACAGGGGAAATGTACTTCGAACCCTCCAGACATCGATGTAACACCCCCCCTAGAAGCATGTCTGAGACGATGGGGCTCAAAGCCCAGGACCCCGCCCCTCAAGGGCCAGTTCAACGCCAACCACGGGGTTCGCAGCTCGGCATCGGGTCCGCAAGCTACTGGAAACAGAAAGTGCGACCGTGTCAAACAAAATCCCATCCTTCACGAAATTGGATCCGCCGACAGCTGGCATGATATGCGGCCGGAGTCTGTGGACGGTTGTAGTACTGTTGGCGCCGCCCTGGAATGTTAGGTCAATAATGTGAAACAGGAGCCGCACATATGGGAACCTTCACGGACAACTCACTGGCTGGATCCGAACTATGGCCCTGGCTCGCTGCATGGCAGTTGTGTCTTCTACGACTGTGCCGCTTGTTCCGTTCCATTGTTACGGATCGGATCATCACAGCCTGAGTCCGTCCTCAACGGCAACTTGGACGAACATGGTCTTCAAGAAAACTACAATCGAGCATCATGTCCAACAATGCCTGAGTTGCACTAGCCAGAACCACCATGTTTTACAAATCAACGGGCTTCCTGATTGCTTGGCTCGTGGCTTGTAAATTCCTCCCAGTATGTGCATTCCTCTTGTCTGTCCAATTGCAGCAAGTTGCACCGAACAAGAGTACCGTGGACACTAGGCAGCTCCAGGCAAATCCGTGTCTTGACAAGTACTGAACATATATCGTTTATGAGACGGATAAGTGACGGCGGCCGAAGACTCATTCTGCAACAAAGCTCCTCGGTTCACTGCACGTTTTTGCTTTTCATTTGCCGCATGGCATACTGCAGCGCAGCTTTGGCGCAAAAGTCTAACTTGACACTTGTGGATGCTTAACCTATTCGCGACACAGTCCACATGTCTGCATGTCCAAGCTACTGTATCCCGTGCAAATTGCTGTTCCATACTTGGAATCTGAAGCACTGCCGCCGAATCCTCAAAGCCGTCGTGCCAGCTTGGGCCCACCGACAAAACTGACGACTGGGGTTGGCATGCCTTTAAGTCAAGCAAAAGATAGCCGATGGCAACTTGCTTCTGAAAGCACAGCGCTTTGCTCCACACCAGTACTGCCTCCATCGCCGCTATTTAGTCGAGCTCGTTCATCGAGTGAAGCCGTCGAGATCTAGTCAGAAGCCTTGGTCGAAAAGATGCAGCACACGTTCCTTAGCACCCACTGTTGTGCTTCGATCCGTCTGTGTTTGAATGTTTGTAAATGCTGTCATGCAACAAACGATTCATGTCTCTTGCTGTCGGAATTGCAAATGCTTTACCCATTCTTGGGGCAGGACAACATCTCAGCACCGTCAGTCCTGTATGCAGCTTCCAGAACAGACCTTGCGATGTTAGGGGGTGATAAGTTCTCATCTGGGTGCCTCGCATCAACACATCTTGAAAAGCTAGGTGCTGTTAGCAGACATTGAGCTGAAAGCTTCGACTTGTCTTCGGAGATTGGACAAGGACGCAAAGGCTCTCACCCGTTCAGGAACGTCGCCTTCCAACCTGGGAGTGAAGTCTCCACAGCTGCCTTAGCGAAAAAGACCGAAGTGGCGCTTTGTCGCGACTTAGCGACGGTGAACTCAGCATCAAACCATCAAGCGTCCGATCTCAACTCCACAACGAGGCACCTTCGATGTTTCCCCCCCCGTGTGTCAAAACTTCGACCGGCAACAAACAGCTCTGACAAGACCTTGAGAAACGATATTAAGCGATGCCTGCTTTTTGATCTGCCTGGCCTTGCTGCCTTGTCTGCCACCGCTGCAGCTCGCATCCTCACACCCTCTGTTCGCAACACTGCCTTCGATTAGTGCAGCTGTCGACCCTATCGTGAGCAACAAAAGGACAAGTGCAGCACCCAGGTCAGGAAGCATGCCGCCCAAGCCTTAGTTCCAAGCGAATGTAAACGGCCATTTCAATTCGAGGTCATAGCTTCAAATCTCGCTCTGCTGATCCTCTAGTATGCTTCTTTGGAAAACCAATCACTGCTTGGAGGATAGAGTTGTGGTTGCGCAGCCCGTCCAACACCTCACAGGGTTTGGCCCACATCACATCCTTTGTAGATTTGTTGGGTTCAGGCCGAACATCTTCCATGATAGTTTGGATGCTCGGATCAAATCGCCCTTTTGCTACTCATCGGATGTTTTTTCGTGCATGAGTGTCACTTGTACTCTGCGACACCGTTTTCAGACTTTGGGACCTCTCTCTGGTGTGGTCTCCCATCATTCCCTACTGGGGTTTTGCAGCTTTGGAAGAGTGAACTACACCTTTCAGAGACTAGCTCACCGTGTAATTAGGCATGGGTATCTACCAGTTATTCTATATAAGGCTTGATATTCGTCATCATCCGCTCGCCATATACACATCTACATACATTTACACGTGTGTGTGTGTGCACAGGCAACCGAAGTGCATGAACTTATATATATATATAATATGTATATACACATATGTATACATGTGTGTACATGTATAAATGTACGGATACAGTGGCCGTGTTGCTTACACGCAAAATTGAATGTGCGCCGTCCACCACACACCATAACCTTTCAGGGTTTAGGATGGGAGCTTGATGGCCTCCAGTTTCGGCTGAATGTATAGCTGCAGGCCCCGTGGTTATATGTACATATGCTGGCATATCTACCACAGAAAATATGCTTTCTTGTGGTACAGACATTGACGTACATATGTCTGTCTGTATGTATGTATGTATGTACATGCATACATGCATACATGCATACATGCATACATACATACATACATACATATACGCACATAGGCTTTGAACGTGCATGACCTTGCGAAAACTTATATAGATAGATATCTTTCTATGTATATGTATATATCTATGGTTATACGCATCATACATATGTGTGTACATATATATGTGTATCAAGATTGGCCTGCCGGCTGGTGCTTATGTACGGTCCTAAATCTGAAAGGTTATCGTCGTTTGTAGCTCCTATGAGTCAATGGGGCCCAACATCAGCTACTAAGTCTTAACATTTTCAAGGCCAACCGCCACTTTCAGTCTAGGGTTTGGGTTCGCTATCCACCATCTCTTCAGAGGGATTTGACCACCATATGCGTTTGGGTTTGAAACCGACTATCTCCTTCTAGAATTTAGGATTCTGCAGCAGGTCACCCTGAGTTGCGGTCCAAGGATTTGCTACCCATCTTAGCTACTTCTTTCGTGCAGGGTTTGTTGCCCGGCCCATACCTCTCATCCGTTGTCGATAGTACCGTTTTCAGGTTTTGTGGTCGTTTTCACGGTGGCAAATTCCAAATCCTGGGATGAGTGAGTGTCGTGGGAAAAGGAATCCTGTGCCTGTGCCTCCAAAGTCCAGAAGGCCTCTGAGGGGGGGGGGGCTGCCAAAAAATCTGGAGGCGCAGGAGTACCATGCTGTTTTTTTTCGGGGCCGACGTCGGCTCCACCCGCTTGTGGAACTCGATGTGGTCCTTGACCCAGGCTTTTGTGCGGGGGCTCGTCCAAGATCAGCTGGCGCTGAGCCGAATGGCTTTGTTTTTTGTTAGTGGTGGAGGGGAAGCGGGAGGATCCTTTATGATCCTTTGCTGCTTTTTTTCTAACATTTTGCAGCGTTAGCAAACGTAGCCTCCCCGGGTCTCGCCCTTTTTCTTGTCGATGATCTCCCAGAGGCTCAGAGAGCTGAGAAGCACCCCGCATTCCATGCGAGCCCAGAAGACGTGGGCCTCTTTGTCGCCGAAATTCTTCTTCTTGTAATCCGGTCCTTGTCTCAAGGGCTGGTGCTGCATCCGGGTCCAAATATTTGTCTTTAGGCTGGAGAAGATCTCGGCTAGCTCCGCCTGGGTGAGCTGCTTTGCTTGGTCTGCAGCTCGCTTGCCGATGCCTGGGAAGTCTGCGAGGAAGCCCTCGAGGAAGTAGAGCATCTCTTCCCAAACATCAAGGGCCAACTTCGACGAGGAGGAGACCAGCGTAGGCTGCTCCTCCAGGGTCATAGTGACATCCGAGAAGTCACTGGGCGGCTGGGCCGCACCCCTCTGTCACGTGAAGAGGGCACTCGGCGATCTCGACCACCTTGACTGGGTCGCCCCCCTTCATAACCAACTTGGGAATTGCCATGTCCATCTCTTTGAGTCTTTCGGAAAAGGGGGGTATCATCAACATCCACCTGGGCAAAGGAGGAAAGCGCCGAGTTAACCTCCTCATCCTCGCGAACTTGAGGATTGTGGAGAAGGGTTTCCCTTGCGATGACACTTCGTCCTGCAGCTTCTCCCATTCCTGATCAGAGTCACGTTCCTGACGTGGCTGTGGATGCTGTGGGATGCCTGCCACGGTCTCCATGCTGGATGCCATAGCTTCCGCGGAGGAAGATGCCATGATCAACGGTCGCGAAGAGAGGGAGGGAGCGAAAGCTGGTAAAGTTTCTGAGGGATTTGAGTTCCCGGCACTAGAAACAGAATGGCAGAAACCACTTTGGCAGACGTCTCCAGTGGTCTCCAGACATAGCTCTTGCGACTTGGCAGGCTCCTAGCAAGCAGTATGTTGAAGAGGCCTTGACGGTGATACAGTATTACTCAGTATGATTTCGAGATCGCGCCCTTTTTTTATCCAACTCGAAGTACTCGCAAACTTCGAGGCTTTTGCATTCCATGGTTTTACGATCGGAAGTGGATCTGCAGTGACATGATGCCTCGCGAACAACTGAAATTCTCTGAACAAGCAACCGCGGCTGCCACATGCGACGATGTTCAGAACTGGAGTTCCTGTGCCGTGAAATGCAGCTGCTAACGTAGGTCAACCGATAAACACTGTGACGGCATCGTGAACACACGGAATTCGCCCAGGGTGTGCATCAATGATGCTTGTGTAGCCGGCATCAAGCACTAACCACGATCTGGAATGTTGGCTTCAGTGCCTGCAGCCCGAACACTGGGTTCACACATAGAGCGAGAAATACAAACACGAGGCATGTGCTCCACGAGGGCTTTAGCGAAAGCTAGGCAAAGGAACTTGGCAGGCTGAGCAGAGAAGCGCTTAGAAGCCGAGGATTCGCCGAGGATGACACTGTGCCAACGCTCTGGACAATGTCGAGGATTTGGCGGAAATGCCTCTGGTTGGGAGTTGGGAGTCCCGGTCAAGTTTCCGCAAAGGATATACACCGAGAGCCGTGCGCAGTGCCCGGCTTGACACCTGTCCATGTGCACCGTCAAATTTCACCAACAGCTGCACGGAATCCGCTCATGACGAGCTGGCCAGCCAGAATGTCACAGCCCAGCACCACGTCAAAGGAGCCAAGACCTCACTCGCTTTACGGGGAAAAGTGGGCAGTTGCCGGCTGCAACATTCGAACAGGCAGGCACGCTGACTGACGTGTTCTGGACTCTCAGCCTCGGTCGGACGTGGCTGCAGTTGCAGGTTCGTAGCAGCTTAGCTGGATGTGTAAGTTTCTGGCCCAGTCCAACTCTTGAACATCGATGGAACCACCTCCTGCCGCAACAACTTCCTTGTTCCGACCTTGGAGGAAAGGCAATTTGGCGATGTGCGCTGCTACTGGTGAGTCTTGAGAGCGGCTATCAAAGGATGTCACAAACCTCTCGACGAAGCAAGTCCAACGGTGACTGCTCCTTCCCAATACTACATAGCCCGTGTGAAATTCACCTCTCCCTCGCTCGTACACATAGCCAATGAAGTGAAATCTTGTGTGTGTGTGTGTGCATCGGTCCGTCGCGATAACATGGCCGCCCATGGCAGCAGCGACGATGGAGGGCAAGCCTGATTCTGCAAAGCTCGCCAGGCACTGCAAAGTGAGAGCTGGAGACGTTCGCAACGACAACCTTCATAGGGCCCCACCCAATCCAGCGCCAATCTCCAGAACACGCTGACCCCGCACACGCCACGGCCTGCGTACCGTCTGACTACCTGCTTGTGCTGATGCGGAGGACGTGGGAGGTCCAACTGCTGGGAACGCAGCTGGGACCGCAGAAATGAGGCGAGAAGCAGCGAGCCGTCCCATAGCGTGTTACTGTACCTGGAAGGCGTTTAACCAACAGTGGAATTGCAGCCCAAGTCGGGTTTGAATATCGCATGACGCACACAGAATAAGGCAAATTCGCAACATCGGCTCCCTCTAGCCTTAGTGAAGCGGGGGGATCTTATGGTCTTTCATTCCGTCTTCATCCCGTGCTAAGGATTTGGCGGCGAGTCGTCTAAGGATGAGCCAAGCCTGTGGTGCGCTTCCTCATCAAAAGGACCTCCTGGATTTCAGCTCTTAAGCCGCTGGCTCTTCGCAAATATCGACATGACCTCCCTGCAATTGGAAACGCTTCCTCTCTCCCACCCGGTCATTGTCTTGTAATGTGTTCAGAACCTCAGCCCAGCAACATATGATTTCGTGCCGTCCAGCTAGAGATCATTCTGGGCCAGCGACCAGCACACTCCCAGACCTTGACACAAAGTTTCTCGTCTTCTGACGGTGCGTATACGCAGCACTAGGACGCCCGCAGGTCGGTCATCTCATTCTGGGAGCCATCCGAAAATCAAGCAGGCAACAGCTACTGCTACTACTGTCCTAACTGCATGGAAATGAGATGCCACGCAGTGCTGAACCATCGCCGGTGTTCAAGCTGCCGTGAAGGATAGAATCCGATCTTGCTTCGTGGTGGAACAGATGTGTGCCGTGGCAACATACTTGCGGGACTCGTGCTTGTGACCCAGAAGATGACAGGGGTCTGAAGCCACTTGGAAAGACTGAGCCTCCGTGCTAGACTGATGTTAAAATTAAAATAAAAGTCCAGCACTGGTCAGCTTTGTATCGATTTAATCGCGGAGTCTCGCAGTCACAGGTCCTCGTCATCTACCTTTCTTTCCTTTCTGGCAGCTACCTGCCGCATGGTGTTGTGGCTTCTTGTGTTGGTTTATGTTCGCTTGCATTTATCCAGAAGTTACTGTCGCGATCTCCGATCCAGCCTTCTCTTCGCCCATATGCTTTCCCTCCGCAGCGACAGAGCAGAAACGTTCTGTGTGGCACGTAAGTCTGCGCGTGCGGCATCCCGGTTCTCGAACCTTGTGCACGCACAAGCCGGCGCCGGCCCTAGCCCTCTTTACGTCTTTGTTTCTCGCCGGCAGTCCGTGTCTGCCCGTTCAATCAGGGGTCAGTTGGTTGTCTGCAAACCGTCCGAAGCCTCTCTGAATCCCCAAAACTTTATTTGTAGGCTTGGTTTTTGCCCGGAGTGTTCCTGCCGGATCCTGGGAGACAAGTCCAAGAGGTAGCGTGTTGCTATGTCCAGCATTCAAGTTGCAGTTGCAGGATCCGGCAGTCAAAAACAGGTTCCCGACGGAAGACAATGTATCAGCACTGGTCGGAGCGGGGCCTTGTGCTTGGCGACTTTCTCTTTAGGCTGCTGCCGCTTCTCCTCGACATTGACACGGCATGCTCTGCTGCAACAGTTGCCTGGTCGCCAGCTTCCTGGTCGTGCCGCTTTGTGGAAGCATCGGCTGTCTTCTCTGCCTGTCTTCAACGGTGTAGGAACAAAAGAGTAACGACGGGCTTGGCCTTTCGTTTCTGCTTCTCCCTTTCGCGATCACGCTCCTGCAAATTTCAGCTGGGTCCCCAGCTCTGTTGCGAAGCTGTGTTGGCGTGCCTCCCTGTGACCCTTCTTGCTCTTCTTCTCTTGCTTCTCTTTAAGCTTAGGCATCACCATGGCTGGGTCCACAATCATGGCCATTGGGTGATAGTGCGACGGCCTGCCGACAGCCAGGACATTGCAGTACTGACAGTACTGGGTGTTTCGACTGCGCAGATTGTCTCAGCCCGGCCCGTGAATCATCTCGGGCGCCATGAAGGGCACCGTCATGATGGCTGGATGTCCCATCCTGACCAACGCGCTGAAGCCGGCTCAAGCTTGACTCTCCCTCTCTGCCTTTCCCTGAGTTTGGGTCATGAGTGGGTCCATGAGATGATGAACACCCATCGCATGCGCTCCGGGTATGGCTTGACGAGCCTCACGGTTGCGACAGGCGACAGGCGAGAGTGAGAGCAACTTTTGTTTGCTTTGTCTGCTTTAAGCCCAGGAGCTGGCCCCGGCGGTCCTGGGCCCCTCGGAGACTCGGAGCAGGGAAGCAGAAGGCACAGCCATGCACAGCGCAACGAGGCCCATACCGAGGCGGCATGTCGCCTGTCTCTACGCAGGCATTGCAGGCTCCATGATGCTCCATGTCCTTGTGCCCTAGGCCCTAAGCCTCTAAGTACACAACCTCCACCGTCTCTCGTGGTCCGAGATCGCACTTGCCGTCGGAAATCTGCAGCTGCCTGTTCATGCCGTACTGACACAACACAGGTCAAACTCGATGCGATCTTGCCAAAAGTCACGTGAAAAAGCAGAAGCATTTTCGCCTTGCTTAGAAAGCGGTTGTCACGGAGAAGTCCTTGCCGTCTCCTAAGTACCTCCGCTTGAATTCAACCTGCTTCGCCAAACATCGCTCTTGAAGCTTCGACTCTCCCACTTCGTCTAACGGCTGGAGGGTGAACTCTACGGAATCCTTTGCTCCCAAAGTTCTTAAGAAGAAATAAGTCTGTGCATACTGTACGGCTTTGACGGACATGTCATAACTGACGCATTTCAAAAATATGCGTTCGAAGGTGTTAATCTCTGCCAAGCTGTAAAGATCGAATTTCTGGGCAAAGTCCACATTCTCGTAGGACTCATCATACCACACCTTTGAAGCAAGCATCATCGCAGTGATTGTTAATCTTTGCCAGTTGTCTGGCGTCAGTGCAATGCCACTTGTCTCACAGAACCGATCCAAATACACCAACGTGACAACGCTGACCTCGGGATGGACCTCCAATGCATGGATAACGAGCTCCAGAAAATCATATATGTCCCATTTGTTGGGAATCCGTCGAACTGCAATTGAGTTGAAGGGATGGCTTGGCTTGTTCAAGGATTCGGAGACCTGCGCAGATGATTCTTTCGACATCAATGGCGAGCACATGCTGGACAAAGGCGTGCCGAAATCACTGTTCTCGTTGAAAGAGAATCCCTCACCACATGCATCTCGAGGTCGCACCTGCTTTTCCAACATGTCTTTGCAAACAGGCTCCAAGAAAATGGCGCAAGCAGCGAGGCATTCAACTGATCCGGTGTGGGGCCGAGGCTTTCCCACAGACAGTATGACTTTGTTCTGCAGTGCAGTTGCGAGACACCTTATGAGATTATCCACTTCGGCGCTGGCAGATGGAATCTCCATGGACTTTGCGAGCTTGGCCCGCGGAGGTTCCAGCTCCGCGGGCTCATGGTATCCTCCTCTTGGAGGTGGCATCGTCAAGGAGTCCGAGTCGCTCAAGGCTCTGGCTCGTGGCACGGGCTGTGGAGACTCGTCTCCGAGCCCTCCAAGCCCCGAATCCGCCCTGCGATTGTGAGATTGGAACATGTCATTCAACGCCTCGGGCCCAGCAGCCTGTGCAAGTGCATGTAACTGGCCGGTCAAAAAATCTACCTGCTCGGTCTGGGCTTGAACCAGTTCCTCAAGTTCTAACACTTTGTCACGCTGCTTCTGCAGCTCTGCTCCTTGATCACGGATAACTTCAAGCAATCGGCGACTCTCTTGCTGCCACTTCTTGCTTTCATTCTCTGCTTCTGCCTTCTCTCGTGTCAGCTCTGAGTTCTGCGAGCAGAGTCGCTGCAAGGCCGCGTCATCTTCAAGCATTTGCTCCTCTCGCCTATCGGCTCCCAGCACGGCATGCCGCAGGCATTCGATGGCTCGGAGGAGCCGTAGCTTGTGGCCTGGGTAAACACGGAGGGACTCTAAGAAGTCCAGTACCTCTGTCTCTGAAAGTCTGCCAATTGTCTCCAAGTCATGGAACCCTGCTGCTACAAAAGCACGTGCATATTGGTTTAAGCCATAAAGTCGCAAATATGCAAAAGTTGGGGTTCTGTTGACTTCATTTCCTCCATGTGCACTTGATCGTCCAACGCCAGGTCCACTCGATGCAGCTCGGGCAGGCTTTGTGCTTACGCTTGCGCCTGCAGCTCCCAGAGGACCTCTGGCTGGCCGTCGGCCGACTGCCGTCTGGACGTCTCTTGCATCTCTCGCATTGCTCACACTGTACACAGCTTCTGGCGAGGGGCGACCTCGAGCACTCGCATCTCTTGCTTCAGGTGACACTTGCGACACCTGTGAGTCAGCAATGCGAGATGGCGGTCGCGGTGCTGAGCCAGGCTTTCGCTGCAGGCTTCGTGGCGGGGCACCATTGCGTTGGCTCGGTGGGCGAGCATTCATTTGTGCCAGTGTGCCAGAAAGCAACTTGAGCCATGCATGCCACCCAATACCTTAAGGTTGATTGCATCAAAGCTTAACTTGACGAGTGCCCTGTGCGGACTGTGAAGAATCTGGCAAAGCGTGGCCTCTCCAGGCTGTCTGAGCTCACTTTGGGAGTGCGCAGCTGGGCACGCGCTGCCTCGTCATTGCTCAAACTGCGTTCCGTGTCGGTGCCCTTCAAGCATCGACGAAGCAGGTCTTTGTGCCAGCCGGAATCTCCGAATGTCTAGAATGGCAGGACTCGAGTGCAGTCCTTTGCGGCACCTACCCTCCAAGAATTCGCTGCATAAATGCGTCCTTGTTCGCAGATGGAAAGTCTCTTTGACAGTTTGAAGTTGAAGGGACAACACCTGAGGGTCTGTCTTGTAGTCTCGCGAAGGTGGCGTCTCGGCTTGGACAGATCACGTATTTAGCAGTCGCAAACTTGAGTTTGCTGCCTCAACTCTGAGGGTGGAACGCTTCTTATTGGCTCAATCTCGGCACTGCTAGAGCTGGAGCTGTCAAGCTGCGCAGCCACAACTGCAACCTGTCGGTCGAGCATATGGAAAGACCCCATGCGCAGTGACTGTCAGCAGCGAAAAGACACCCCATTGTGCTCCGCCACGCCTGTGGTGCTGCCTGCCTCTTGGACTCTCTCGGCTGTGCTTCCGTTGTCGGGTCTGACTTTTCCTTTTTCTCTTTCTTGGCTCTCTTGTCCTTTTTCTTTTCTTTCTTGTCCTTTTTTTCCTTCTTCTCCTTCTTACTCGCCTTGCCTGGAGCAAGCTCCGGTGGAACTTCAGAGAGCGCGGTATCTGCATCCTCCGCCGCTCTCTCCTCCGGTTCCACCTTAGACACCATCGCCGCGTCTGGCAGAGCCTGCAGGCAAGTCTATCCATGCCAGTACATCCCGATGCTGGATCTACCCATGTTTGTATGGATGCTGTCCCTTGATGTGTCTGATCCGTGTCTCACGGGGACCATGCTTTTTTTGCAGGAAGCGTCCTGCAGGAAGCCTAAGTAAGATTCTAAAACACATGCATGTCTGTCGGGGTTCACTGTCGGTGACAAGTCTCCCGGCTCTGCCTCACTCTGTGGACTAGGCGCAGCCACGGGGAGGGGCTGCGGCTGCACTCCAAAGGGATGCGGCTGCTTCTCCGGCGACTCCTCGGCGTCTTTCGAAGCGGCGTCTCCTGGCGGTGCGATGGCACGGTGAGTCGCAAGCTGTTTGTTTGCGGTAGATGGTATACGACCGGCCTTCCGGATACTGAAGGATGGTGGATGCAAACTGGCTCGGCTGCGGCAGAAAGGAAGAATCCGCAGCGGAAACCTGGCAGAATCACTGGCAAGATGATGCACCCAACCACCCGCATGCAAGCATTCGCACGGCGAACGCACTAACGCTGACACGCACAGCCCGGGTGACTCAATGACTTCAAGCTTTACACAGCTGGTCTTGTAAACCAAGGATTTCAGACATTCCTCGTTGCTTTCGACCCTAAGCTGCTAAGCTCAAAACTGTAGACTCTAGACTTCATGGATGCAAGAAGTTTTTGATTTCAAGTGGAAGTACCAGTTGGCCGCACTTATGTTGCGCAACCATTGAACCCTCATCAGGAAATTTCCACTCAAGTCTAGGCTCGTATCGTTGCACGCTAAAGCTAAAGCTCTAAGTGTCACGTGACCCAGGCCCAAGAAAACATATTCCACTTTTTCATTGCGCACTGCTACACCATTCGAGAGGCTTGAAATCTGCACAGCTTGGGCTCCAAAGACCACAAAAAACCTGCTTGAACGCATGCTTCACACGACGGAGCCGGGACATCGAAGCTGAGAAAGCACGCCGTCGAGGACGTGGTTACGTGAGGGCTACTTCTGGCTACAATGTGATGGAGGAGCGATCAACACACACCTACTCGGACTTAGTCAACCTCAATAGGTGAACATTGCATGTTTTTCATGTTGTTGTTTTGCGCCGGGAAACTGTGGCACGCAATTGGCCAGGCAAGGGGGGCACTCCTGCTCGGTTGTCATCTGTTATCGAACTTCGGTCCTGCAAGCATTGGTAAGTATTGCATTTGCATTTCCTTGAGTCAGCCGCTTCTTCCTTGGCCTGGGTGTCATCCGATTGGACCATGGCGGCAGGATCGGAGTCCTCATTCTGCAAACACGAACGATTCTTATCACCAGTGTTTGCAATCAGGCCTGGTCGGACAGCTCGTCCGTTGGGGCAGGTTCGTCCTTCAGTAAGCTCGTCTTGCACCAGGCTGCCAAGGGTTGCTCAAGCCACTCCTCGCCCTCCCTCTTATACAACAGAGCTTGTGCCCATGCCTTGGTTGGTTGACTTTTGCGTCAATACTTGTCGGCTGTGCAATCAACATCAAGCCGAGCTTTGAACCTTACCAGTGGCCTGGCACAGGTTCGCCTCTACGAATTCCACCAACACCTCCACACGCGAAACATGTTGGTGAGGGACTCCACGGGTATATAAAACACGGGAGGGATGCAGCAGCACGCTGGAGAGCCTTTTGCATGTTCGGTCGTCGGCCAGTGTCTCTGCCCCTGCTAGAAGGTGGTGCGCGCCACGTGACAACTGCTAGCAGCAGCATCTCCGATCTGCGCGAGAAGGCGCATATGGGATGCGCGCGCCTGCCACCATGTACAAGTAGACTATGCCCTTAGGAAGAACTACTGCTCACCGCAAGGGCAAGTTCGTATCTTCTTGCTGCCTTTGAACTCCGCCTGCTCCTTAGTGTAGCAAGCATTGGAGCCTTGCAGGGGCTCGAGCAAGTCCTTGAGGCTCAAGTTACAAGGTTCGCCCAAATCGGGCCCAGAACCCAAGTCGAAGGAGCGCCCCTTCGAAAGCTGGGGCTCCAAAAGGCTGGCCACACAAACGGCTGCCACATCTTCTCGAGGCACTTGGCTATGGTTCTGTCCATCGTCCATCAGTGAATCATCAACGGCAGCGTAGAGCATTCGCCGGCCGCCTGGAGCTGGCTTGTCATCCCCGAAGTGCGGCAGGAGACCACCGGGGTGGATGATGGTATACGGTAAGCCACTCGATACGAGGTAGCACTCGGCTTTCCTCTTCCAGAGTACAATGTTCTCCATCTGCGTGTTCAGAAAATGGTCAGGCTTTGTCCCAGCCATTGACGACACAAGGACGACATGTTTCAGCCCGGAAGCTTTGGCGGCATCAATCTGACTGCGTTGACCCAACCAGTCAACTATCTCCGGCGACTGTCCCTCATCGAAATAGAACGAAGGCTTTTTGGATACATAGCCCAATGTGAAGATTTTCGCAAGGATCACACCAAGCAAAGAGGACTTTAACAATTGTGGCATCGAGCTTGTCACAATGACACAGGCATCCATACCGACAAAAACCGGCCTCAAAGTTTCAGGATTGGTAACATCCGCCAGTACAATGTTGACGGCAGTTTTGGCATCAAGTTGATTAGCCAGCTTGTTCTTGCTGACTTCACTTCGCACGACGGCAGTTGTTTCAATGCCATGTTCTATCAGCTTCTTCACAACCAGACTTCCAGTTTGCCCACCTGCACCGGTCACAACGACGCGCATCTGCAAGTGGCACCGGATGGCAAGAAGCGATGGAAGGATGACAAGGCTTTAGCCGGCCCGAACTCTTGAGCTGAATTGGACACTGTCGGGTAGGAGGCTTGGGCAGTCGGTAGTGCAGAGGCGCGGGCAGGCATTGGTGTCTTCGTCTCTTACGTCAATGCTGCCAGTACTGCTTCACCTGACAGATGCCCCTGTACGCGTGTAGCCTCCTGTGCAACACATGGCATCGAGATCTGGAGCTGAGAAACGAAATCCTCTAAGCCACTCCACCTACTTCCCCAGCCTGCATAAGCACTCCCAAACCCTGACTGCCTTGTTTCGTTTCCCAGAAGTCCCACTTTCCACCCAGCAAGCAAACCAGATCCGACCATGCTCAATGTCTAGCGGCTGGGCGAAACATGGTGCAAACATGTGCAAGACTCGATGACGATACGATGACGCCGCTCACTCTACCAGTCGGCAAGAGTCAGGCCATCACGAGTAAGGGTGAAGGGAAGCTTATCTCGTGCGCGGCTTTTCAACATGCATCAGGCAAGACTGTTCGATTGACATTCTGCATACGGGACTGTGCCTACGCAAAAGTAGCTTGTGATGTATGCACCGCCGGCAGAGAACTCGCATCGTGCCTCTTTAGATGGCTTCTGCGCAGAGAGGCTCGACGAAATTTCATTTTTTTCACACAACCTTGTGACAAACATGGTGGTCACGTGGCTGCAAAAATCCGGCACATAAGCTGTGCGCTCTTCCCAAGATTGCTTCCATCCAGCATCTGCTGCCTTCAGCCCTCGTCGCACCTGCGACACACATCATGCGTACTGTATCTTACTGACATGTACTGACCTTACTGACGGGTAGGGCGACGTGCGGACCCTTATGGAAACCACAATTGCGCAGGGAGTCGTAGAAACCAAAGAATTGGACAGCATTCGCGCTTCTGCGCATGTGTGCAAGCTGACAAACTCTCTTTTTGCTTTCTTGTTCTGTCACTTCACGTCACTTCAATTCGGTTCGCGGCATGGGAGTCTTGTCAGGACTCCCGGGCCGAGAAGGTCCACCCCTGTAACTGGGCCTTGTGGGGAGAATCAGGAAACTGCGGCTGTACACTAGCTAGCACTTCCAAACTCGCCACTTCTCCTGGACACCTCCGGGGTGGGCACTTCAAATTTGCCCCCCACTAGCTGTGGGGCTCTTAGTCGCAAGATGTTCATGTCTGCCATGTGCTTCCCCGATAGCTCGAACACCTCGAGACTAGCCGGAAGCATCTGCGATGTGTTCCTAGCAAACACCTTTGATGTTTTGCTAGCCGAAACGCCTTCGATGTTTCACCCAACGGAAAAGTTAGCGCTAGCATACACGGTCGTATCTCGTACCTCGGCACGAATGCGTACACTAGCTAGCACTTCCAAGCCCGCCACCTCCCCTAGACACGCCCTGGGTTCGTACCAACTAAGAAATGAAAAGGCTGTAGTTGTCGACCCGGACAGCTCACTCGTTTTCGCGGTGTGGCGAAGGTCCCTTGTCGCGCGGAGAAAGCCTCTACCCTCAGGCCAACTGATCTACTTGCGCAGCCGAAGGGCTACCACGGGCCTAGCTTACGGGCTCTCCTCGAGAACCTCGTAGCGATGGGTTGCATGGGTGAGAAGTCGACCTATCACCCGCCACTCTAGCGCTTCCCTGTCCTGTCCAGGTCTATCCTTAAGTTCGGGTCGAAGCTACAGCGAAGCTGTCGTTTGTGAGATCGTCCGCTAGCTGATTCAGGTCTCGTCGGATCCACTGCAGCTGGAGCTCACACTTCTTTGCAGATAGCTCCTCTGCCAGCTCCATGAGGGTTAGCGTGGAAGGGAACTTGGTGGTCATCGCCTTCTTAAGTAGCGTCTCAGCGTCTCGTTGGACTGGTTGTCAGTGTAGCCTCGTGTCGCCACTCGGGAGGTCTTCTTAGCCTCGCCGCGCCTCGCCGTCGGGCACCCAAAGCCGCACCCCGACCAGAGTAGCCAGGTTGTTGGGGTCTCCTTTATAGCGAAAGCCCACGGATCCCAGCTCTCTCTAATCTCTAGCGAGAACCAAGGACCTGGGCAGCCCTCCACTAGCTCCGGGAAGCCCCCGATCCAGGCTCGGCCGTTCTCGGCTTTGGCGTCCGTGAGGACTCAGCCTCCAGTAACGGCGCCGGTTTCTGCAGTCGGTCGCCCCCTTCCAGTCAGTCCGCTAGCCAGACGCATAGCACCCGCATCAAAATGGGTAGCGTTCGCTTCCCTAGCTTCCCCTACACTGCTGAAGACCAAGCGCGTAGCGGTCCCAAGAACGGACGCTCCCAATCTAGCGCAATGGTGGCACATCCGGGCGAAGGGTTTAGGAGTTTAGCCTCCGAGGTCCCAGTCCGGGCTAGCGAACGGAGCCACTCCACCAACCAAGGCGCGCTTTAGAAGAAGTCCCAGCTTCCAAGTGGGATACCCAGTTTCCATCCCTAGCCACTCCACGCAGAAACCCCCTCGCTCGGGTCTTAGCCGAGTCGATTAAAAGAATAACATCCTTATTCCGAACATGGTCACGGAAGGTTTCCAGAGCTAAGATGGGAGCAATCATCTCAATCGGTACGATCTGGATCTTCCGAGGGATCCACTTCTCAGAAATCGAATGAGGGATCGCCTCCGTAAACTGCTTCGGCGCGAGACCCCGCCTATCGAACATCACTGCTCCAACTCGATCGGGTCCGCACTCAGCTTTCCTCTGATCAGGAGTGAAACCGTCCGTGAAGATCACGATGTCGGACCTCTTCGAAGCACGCAAGGAGATCTCCCGAGGTGGACCGCACACGACAAGGCCCCTCCAGCAGATCAGCGAGCGCTTCAGGGCTTCGTTGAGGTCCATGCGATCGCCACTCAGATCCTTCGAGTACTGTCTTTCCGAAATAGGCCGGAAGAACGGCAGGCCTACCTTACCCCAGAGCTGGCTCGCGCCAAACATGAGCCTGCCCTTGAGCTTCCCTGCCGTCCCTGGATCCAAGCTACCTGATGTCAGGATCGCGTCGATCGACTCGACGAGCTCCGCCTTCCTTTCCTCTTTGATCTCAAGGAGAAAGTCCTCAAGGTTAAACGTAACTCCCAAGACCACCGGAAGAGATGAAAGCTGGAGCTTCTTCTGGTCGAACGACGCGCCAAGGAGCCAATGGATCGTTTCGGCGACGAGCTTTGCCGACCGGGTAGTGAGCTCTGTCTCGAACCCGTACTTGTCGTCGTAGAAGTTGAACGACACCATCTTGAACAGACGAGTGAAGACATCGTTCAAAGCAGCCGATCGGCGATTATAGTTGTACACCGCCGAGACTAGAACGAAAGAATGGCCGATCATGACGAAGTACTTAGGACGATCATCTTCAAGATCCTTGAGGCAGATCACACTGAACTTGCGATGCTGCGGCAGGATCGGCAGCTGCCGATAGGCTTTCCGCTCATCGAGAACCCAACCTTGGAGACGACGATCGCCTGCCCTGGTCCTGAGTTCACGAAGAACTGCAACGTTCAGATCCGTAGAAGGTAGTTGCAGCTTTTCGGTGATCACCGCCGTCTTATTGATCAGGTTCGAGGTGGCACTATCACACCCCCGGACCTTGTTCGTTCTTCTGGACGACCCCGAACCTCTGCGTCGGGATCCAGTCGTCGCAACCCAAGAACTGAGTCACTTCGTCCTCATCCTGAAAAGGACCAACCCAGGACGGGCCCAATGTAGCTTAT